TAACAGGCAGAAGGAGGCGTGGCAGACCCCACAAAGTATATATATTCTTGATCAGGGCGACGAGCTGAATCGATTTGGCCCTGTCCGTCTTTCCGTAATTCTCTGTTTGCCTAAATCGACGCCTACAACTTTCAACAATCTATTTTAGTGCTAAAGTTCGCTGACAAACAGAAAAAGAGTAATTCACAAAACTTCTGAGATCGAACGGAGTTCCCATTGGCTTAGGAATATCAATTTGAATTCAAGTCATAGTAAAATGTATTATATAATAGTTATATATTATATATGTATTCATTTATGTATTACTTTGATTTAATTATATTTATATTTATAACTTATACTATATGTTGGTATTTGTTTAATTTTGAAATAAAAACAGCCTGTAAGTCGATGGACATACGTAACAATATTTCGGAGCTGAAGCAGCTTGCTAACTGTACGATCATTGAGGGTTTTCTGCTTATAACACTGATCAACGATGCGGATAAATTGAACACGACTTATCCCCTGCTCACCGAGGTCACAGGCTATATATTAGTTTTTCGTGTGCAAAATCTGATTTCTTTATCGCAAATCTTTCCCAATTTGAGTGTGATACGGGGAAATATACTATTCGAAAGTTATGCCTTGGTGGTGTACCAGAATCGGGATCTACTGGATATTGGATTGTCTAATCTGCGTGCGATTACGAATGGAGGTGTGCGCATCGAAAGGAACTTGTACTTGTGTTTCGTAAAGACAGTCAATTGGCTTAAGATTGTTTCAAAGAATGCGACAGATTCGGATATTGTGCTAAAGTTCAATCGCAATGAGGCTGAATGCGCACGCTGCCCTGGCGAGATCAATGACGATGGACAGGAAAACAGTATGTCGGATGCTAGCGGAGTGCCCGCCTGTAAGGAGTATCCCGGTAACAAGCGCTATTGCTGGAACAGTCGCGCCTGCCAAACAAGTGAGCTAAATAGTCAGAATCTTGAAAGGAATGTCTCTATGTTGACTGTGCTCTCCCCTCTCGTTCTGTGTAGTTTGTCCCAAGGAGTGCCCCTACAACTGCATCGACGAGCACACCTGTTGCAACGAATCCTGTCTGGGCGGGTGTTCAAATCCTCTGTTGGGCGATTGCGTTGCCTGTCGCAATGTTTCTATTAACGGCGGAAATTGCATTGATCAATGTCCCGATGGTTACTTTCTAGTATGTAATCGAATGTTGCTGCCCTATAGAAATTGTTTCATGTTTAATATCCCCCTTCTTTTAGTACGAGCAACGGTGTATTACGGCTGAAATGTGTGAGAAGATTGGCACCAAATACGAGAGCAGTAACCAAATGAAGCTGGTGCACTACAACGGGAAGTGTACGACGCGCTGCGACAAGGGCTACACGATTATGAACAACACTTGCCAGAAGTGCAACGGCACTTGTCAGAAGGAATGCCCGGGCGGCACGATTGACAGTCTAGTGAAAGCCAAGGAGTATCACGGATGCACAGTAATCGTCAAAGATGGTCTAACCATCAGCATCAAGCGTGGCGGACGTGAGTCTCTCAAGAGTCCACCTACTCATCGTATCGAAGCGTCTAGAGCTCAATTAATTCCTCATTCCTTTCATAGCTCACATGGTTGATGCTCTGGTTTTCGGTCTGGGCATGGTGCATACAATCAACTTATTTCTGAAGGTCCATTTGACCTATGGCCTGACTACGCTGGACTTTTTTAAGAGTTTGCGAGAGATTAAAGGCGAGAAGCTAATGGACGATATTTATGCTATGTACGTGCTGGAGAATCGAGACTTGGAGACAATTTGGGCCGAGAATCAAACAGTCATTATTAGGAACGGCAGCATCTTCTTTCACTTTAATCCCAAGCTTTGTATTGAAACTATCGAAAAGCTCCGACCCATGCTACCGGGAAAACCAGAGAAATTCAATAAAAATGAGGTTGCCGAGGATTCAAATGGCAACAAGGGCACATGTATGTTCTTAGCTATGAAGCATCTTTTATCTCCATATAACTTATCTGTAAACTCTTCTGGCAGGCAACACGAGATGGCTGAATGTAAAAATCATACAATTGGGTGCTACGTTCATTACAATTGAAATCGATCCCGTGAATTATGACGATGAGCGCTCATTTATTGGTTATCAGAGCTACTTCACATTCGATCCGTATGGCAACGTCACTAGGGATAATTATCAACCCTGCTTGGATAAGTGCGTTATATTTAAATAGTTTAATCAATTTAATACGACTGTGCTTCCATCTTCTTCACAGCTGGGTTGTGGGCGAACTAAGCAAGGACAAAATGCGTTTCATTGACAAAATGCAGCCCTATACAAAATATGCACTTTATATACGCACCATGACAATTTCATCGGAGAAACGAAACTATCAGAGTGACATAATACGCTTCCAGACGATGCCCTTGAAGCCATCGATTGTCCGCCGGATAAGTGCGCGCTCTACAGACAGCTCGAAAATTGTGGGTACAATTGAAAGATACTAAAATCAAAGTTAGACTAATAAATAATTATTTTGTTCATCGTAGTTGTTGAGCTGGAAGCCTCCGTTAGAAGTAAATGGCAAACTAGCGAAGTATCAGGTACGCGCGGAAATAAGGCGGCGAGACGCTAAATTGGAACAGCATCGTAACTTCTGTCGGGATCGTAAGTGTTGATCAAAGCATTTGAGAATACAGATGGCTAAGCTACTAATTAATCCCTGCAGCTTTACCGAATACTTCAGACGACGAGGAGACTTTCTCATCGCCTGCAGAGAAAACGATTAAGGAGTCGCCAGGACCTGACTGCAAATGCGATGCGAGCGGTCGGAACGTATTCGATCAACAAGTTGTGGAAGCGAAAATCTTTGATGAAATCGAATTCGAGAATACGCTCCAGAACTTCCTGTACGTGCCAAAAAAGCGTAATAATAGTGAGGTTGCCAACATCACAACCTTGCCCAGCGACAATAACAGCCCGAATGCTGCGAAACACAGGAGCAAGCGCTACATTGAAATTGACGAGGATGCACACGAAATGAGTAGTGTTCTTATGCGTCACATTCGATCCACGGAAAATAATTTGACCAAATCGGAGATTGGGGGCGTCAAAGCACATGCCACCCTCTCAGACTCAATGTGGAGTAATGCTACCGTGATGGATACGAATGAAACCTACTACAAAATCTTTGTTACCGAAGTTGATGCAAATACAACAGAATTTCTTTTTGAGAAATTGCGACACTTTTCTCTTTACTCATTGAGTGTGCGCGCCTGCCGCTATAAAGAGGGCGAGAATGATAATGCAGAGTTGTGTAGCGATTCCGAACCATTGGAGAAGAGAACTCAAAAACTAAGTACGTAAAAAGTGGTAATTTTCAAAGCAGTTATCCGTCTAATCCTAGTCTGTGTTCCACTACAGCGCACGTCGACAAAGCATTTAATTTAACTGGCGACCTTGTGGATAACATGAATACCACTCGGGGCAATGTTCGCCTAAGGTGGGAGGAGCCAGAGAACCCCAACGGTGCTATAGTTTCCTACATGGTTATCTTTGAGCGTCAGGAACAGGATGCCGTCGAGGAAAAACGCTGTGTCACTGTGCAGGACTATCTTAATCAGAGCGGCTACATCGTCACCAATCTGAACGAAGGCAAATACAGTTTTCGCATTAGGGCCAACTCGTTGGCCGGTGATGGTGAGCTAACGGATCCTATCTACGTGATAGTGCCGGTAATTAATTTAATATAATATATACATTTACATATATGTATTTAAATTGTTTGTGAACCCATTGCAAATGGAAAATCAGGGTAGGTGATCTATGCTATTAAGGAGATTTATGTTCTAACGCGTCGATTTCCAAACCTATAAGAGCTTGAGACTTGAGATTCAGAGTATATAGCATAAGCAGATCAAGTTTATTTTAAAAGTCAACAAATATCCTTTTTAACAAGTAAGAAAGCTCTTGTCGAGACTACTCGACTCCGAGATCCCTGAACCCTTTAAGCAACTGATGTTTTTCTAAAAAAGTCGAAAATGAACATACACAGGCAATAAAAATACACGCACGCATTAGCTGCAGTGTGGGCTTGCTATGAGAACTTAATTGCTTAATAACTTTTCTTGTGGGTGGACTATCTTCATGAAACTAAGAGTATGGTTATAATATAGATTTGTATGCATTTGCCAAAGCACAAGTCTCTAGTATATTAAATACGCTCTTTACAAAGGTGATGGTGAGAGAGAGGGTGGATTTTTAACAAAAACCGAAATTCTATAAAATACATATACTGACCAGACATATACATATGATACATATGAATGTGCATTTAAAATTTTTAATCGATAATAAAATATCGGAGCATTTACCGATTTTTAGTGATAAACTCGATATGCGCGTGATATACACGGACCTAGGACGGACAGACAGACGGACAGGACCAAATCGACTCAGCTTGTCGCCCTGATCAAGAATATATATACTTTGTGGGGTCTGCCACGGCTCCTTCTGCCTGTTACATACTTTTAACAAAACCATTATACCCTGATTTCCCATTTGCAATGGGTTCAGGGTATAAAAAGTCCCAAAGATCGCGCGCAAGTGTTGCTTCCTCTGTTTGCAGACGATAAAAAAAAATTGGAATATACGTTCCCAAGGGATAGTAGAAATGATAAGCTTTGTATGCACTATGTACTCACATAGATTTTTCGAGCAATCCGTACAATATTATGCTAGATTCAAACTGTAGAATATATTTTAAAATGGTAATCAGGATCTCTTTGTCAGGCACCCCCAACTAGTCCTTTCATAATTAAAAAAAAAATATACAAGAATCTAATTTGATTTTCGTAATGCTTTCAGCCGCCAAAATCATATACAATTCTTTGGGTCATAGGCACAATTTTAGTGTCTTCGATATTCATAATAACCGGATTAATCATATACTTAAAGTTCTTCAGTCCAAAGAGGGGGCATCCACAGGATTTGGTCATGAATACCGAAGTGAATCCTTTCTATGCAAGTCTGCAATATGTGCCCGATGAGTGGGAGGTTTCGCGAGACCGCGTCCTTACGCTAACTGCCTTGGGTCAGGGCTCGTTCGGCATGGTCTACAGAGGTATACTTAAGGCACAAAATAACGGCGAAGATACGCCATGTGCGATCAAGACGGTTACTGAGAATGCCACGGACCGGGAGCGCACCAATTTTCTGAGTGAGGCGAGCGTTATGAAGGAGTTTGACACCTACCATGTGGTCCGACTGCTGGGTGTATGCTCCAGTGGCCAGCCGGCGCTTGTCGTCATGGAGCTGATGGAAAAGGGTGATCTGAAGTCGTATTTGAGAGCCCATCGACCCGACGAACGAAAGGATGTCGTGGTACAGCCACCACCTTATAGCCGTATATTTCAGATGGCCATCGAGATAGCCGATGGCATGGCTTACCTGGCGGCCAAGAAATTTGTGCATCGCGATCTAGCTGCACGCAATTGCATGGTGGCAGCGGATCTAACCGTGAAGATAGGTGATTTTGGCATGACGCGGGACATCTACGAGACAGATTACTATCGTAAGGGAACCAAAGGCTTATTGCCAGTACGGTGGATGCCGCCCGAGAGCTTGCGCGATGGCGTCTATGCCAGCTCCAGTGATGTATTCAGCTACGGCGTTGTTCTCTGGGAAATGGCGACACTCGCTTCTCAACCCTATCAGGGCCTGTCTAATGAGCAAGTTCTTCGCTATGTAATAGACGGTGGGATCATGGAGAGACCAGACAATTGTCCGGAAGTGCTGCACAAGCTGATGCATCGTTGCTGGCACCACAGGCCATCGGCCCGGCCATCGTTCCTGGAAATCATAGAATACCTACTGCACCTTTCTGATTCGAGATTTAAGGAGGTGTCCTTCTATCATTCCGAGGCGGGTGTTCAGTACCGGGAAAAAGAGAGCAAGGAGCGGAATCAAATGGATGCCTTTGCGGGGGCTCATTTAGATGCCGAGGCTGATGGTGAGGATGCAACCACGCCGCTGCGTGTGGGTGAATATCAGGGCTACAAGTCGAACATGGATCACAACAGATCGCTAGAGCAGCCGGCGGAGAGTCCCATTGCCCTAGTCGACGATCAGGCTACGACGCATTCACCCTTTAGCATGCATTCTGGCTACATAGTGAGCAGCACACCGGATGCGCTATGCACGCTGCCCACTGCTGGTGGCTCGCACATGGAGGATACTGCATATGTTCAACCGGATGTGGATGGGAATGCAGATGCGGATGCAAACACATATGGTGAACGGGGCTACGAACTGTACGATCCAAGTCCCAACTTTGCTGACTTACCACAAAGCGGCAGTGGCCGATTGAGCGGCGAGCAGCATCTGCTGCCCAAAAAGAAGCGGGGTGGCGCAAACATTATGTCGAATATGAGCAGCTCTATGCCGGACGAGGAAATCAGTGGGAGTGTTGGAGCCAGCGGTATTGCCTCCTCCTCGCTGCAACCCTCAACTGCATCAGCGGCCAGCTCGAGTGCGAGCAACAGTCGCCATCCGAGCCTGAAGCGTGTGCTGGTGGACACCTTTCGTCGCTTGAATGTAAAGCGTGGCGACAGCAACGATAGCCACAGGAGCAACATTTCAAATATGGCAAGCAACAGCAGCAACTCGAATCTAACAAGCCACTCCGCGGGCCTGGCCATGATGTCCATGGGCAGCAATCTAGGCACCATTGAGAGCGGGGGCAGCGGCAGTGCAGGCAGCTATGCGGGCACACCCCGATATTACACGCCCACGGCGACTACACCCAGTGGTGGGGGCAATGGCAGCACCACCATTATTAGCGACAATCCCAATTATAAACTGCTGGATGAATCCTTGAATAGTGGAGAAAAAGTGCACTCGGCTTGGCCGCCAACTAAGCTAACCACTAGTAGTCTGAATCCCAACTATGAGCTTATGCAGGCGCCCGCAGCAGAAGCGGTAGCAGCGCCCTTCAGCATGCTAAGCGACAATCCCAACTATATGCTGATGAGCGAACCCAAGTCGGGATCTGGACAGGATGAAGTCATTAGCAGCGCGAATCCCATCTATGCGGCTACAATAGGTCCTGGGCATATCGAATCCGGCAGCTCCAATGAAGATGAAAATGACAAGTAAAAGCTCTATATATACTCTACATTCGATTCATATATTCATATTAATATTAACAATTACAGCGACGAGGACGAAGAGGAAGACGATGAGCACACGGAGCACATTAAAATGGAGCGCATGCCGCTCAGTCGACCAAAGCAGCGCGCTCGCATCAAATCGCAGCAACAGCCGTCGCGCAGCCGTAGCGTCAGTCAAACGCGCAAAACACCGACAACAGCACCCACGTCGACGTCGACGTATCCAACAGCTGCTGCTGCGGCGACGACCTCCAATACATCCAATATACTTAAGGAAAATTGGTTAAGGCAGCCGAACACAACACGACCACAGCCACCCAATGGTTTCATAGGACACGAAGCGTAGAACAAAGAGCGCATGTGTCGAGAGGATTTTGTAAATACATACATGTATATGTAGCAATTAGTATAGAAATATGTTAGTCTTGGACGGAGGGATTGGGTGATCGGAGGAACTCAGAACAAGAGAGGGGAAGAGCCTGTGTGTGCCTACTGCTAAATATTTGAAAATAACTCGAATTGTGTACGAGAGCAAAAACGCACAGCTTGAGCGCCACTGCGTTGGCGTTAATGGGTCAATATGCCCCAACATGTGTAAATCATGGTTAGCATTAAGGCCGCCAGCAAACTTTTGCCCGCAGCCAAGTCTCCTAATAATTTATTATGAGCTTGATTTTGTATATATTTGTATTTTTTAAGTACATCTTTTATAATTTACTGGCACCGTTCAAACAGATACACATACATACATACATACAACAAAATTTAAAAAAAAAAAAAAAAAAAAAAAAAAAAAAAAAAAAAAAAAAAAAAAA